CACTTCCACCGCAGCTCCACTCGTGCTAATTGACTTCCACACATCGTCCTCGTCAGGACACCTGATTACACAGACGCCCTAAAATTGCACCTTTCTAAGATTTTAAGAAGAGGAAGGAGATGGAATTAGCTTAGGGAACGATATTCAAATATTTATAGTCCTTTTTTATAGGAATTACGCAACACTTACTACCCTACAACCTCTGCCGCCAATCTCTACCGTAACATCAAATGGCGGAAAATTCAGTCGATCTTCATCGCCTGTTAGAGAACGTCAAAATAGGCAAGTTTAATTTCATTCCCTAGAAAATTAGTTTTTTAATGCTCCATTTTAATTCCAGCTATTTCTTTCCACCATCTAGCCAATCTAACTATAATTACAACGTTAACATCAAGTACGAGTATGATTTGAAAAATGAAGAGGATTCGAATGATTCACCGCCTGGTAAATAGCAAAGAATTTTCTTTCTACTTATCTTATCTTCATATTTCATTCAAATCTGATTAATTTTTTGGAGATATGTCGATTTATAGGCCAACCACCCTGTTCCACGCCTTCCGAATATTCGCAAACTCATGCCTCGCAACCTGTTGAAACTAGCTTCTCCTCTGCTAGTTTCGTCCCTTCCTACAGCGGAATGGAGATTAGGTAGGTTAAAATTTTCATTTGGATGATTATCCCGATTCATCGATACTTTTAGGTCTCCCAAAATTGAAAAGGACTGCTTTTTTAATGGCTATAGCAACGGCGACTGTGAGGTTGAGGAAGAAGTAAGTATACGACACAAAATTTTTAATTCATTGCGTGATCCAATGTAATTAAGCCGACGTGTTTGCCAAAGAACGGTTCACCGATGGCTAACGGTCACGACAGTATGAATGGGGAGGAAGAGGACGACGGAGAAGAGTTGAATACCAAGGTAAAAATAACATTTTTTACGTCATTGGTGCTGGGAAAGTCATCAGATCAAACTCGTATCCGTGAATTCACCACCTCCCACCAAAAGGGTTCATACCAAAGCTTTGGATTTCTTAACAGTTGCTTTTCAAGCGCTATTTTTGTCAGCGAAATTCCCGAAACTAGCATGATTGAACAGTTAAGTTCTGTCACAAATCAATATTTGTGCAATTTTTTATTCGTGAGAGGCCAGATCGTTCGAACCCTTTTAAATGAAATAAAAGAGTGTCTTCCTGTTCTTGCTCACGGTACTAATATAGGTATAACTAGCTCAGAACCTATCTCGTACGTTTCGATTTATGCAGCAATCCATTATTCTGTTCATTAAAACAGCGGAATGTTCCTATTATTTTGGTTTTTTAGTTAGTTGATATTTTGCTGCATTTGCTAATTATATTAAGCGTTTTTGTATAATAAATAATCATATAAGCCTTTAGTATACTAAAAACAAAAAAGCGACTTATTTTATAACTAGAGGCAGGAAAAGCTAGTTCTACTAGTTATCAAAATTTAGCTTTTGCAAAACATATGTATTAAAAGACTGCCCAAGCTCTTTCTTCCTTCTCTCGCACTTTCATTTTCATGGAATAAATTCTTGCATTTCTAATTTTGCACACAGACTCCAAAAAATCTTGTAAGTCTCATTTCCTTATTCGTATGACTGTCAATGTAATGGTTTTTATGATTGATTTATTGTAGCTTCGATATATAATCTTTCAGGACTTGGCGCAAAGAATATCCGCTGAATTGAAACGATACTCAATACCCCAAGCAATATTCGCACAGAAAATCCTCTGCAGGTACGTGCTGTTGTCAACCGTTTGACTAAAGGTCTACTTGGTCGTCTTTTGCTAAGCCAGTGTCTTGTCGCATCTCGTCCGTAACATAATTATGCAGCCTTGTGTGTGTCAGTTAGTGACGCTGATTGCGTCGCCCACGGGGCAAAGTCGATTTTGTGCTGATCATCGGTTCGCCTCGAGATTGTAGAAGAGAATCAGGGAACATGCTTTTGTGTAGTAGATTTATGAGCCGGCTTCGTTTAGGTCACAAGGAACGCTGTCGGACTTATTGCGTAATCCAAAGCCATGGTCAAAGTTGAAGAGCGGCCGAGAAACGTTTCGACGGATGGCGAAATGGCTGCAAGAACCCGAATTTAAACGAATGTCCGATTTGAGAATGGCAGGTCTGTTAGACACGAAATCACTGCTTTCTACCCCCCGTTGTCCCTGTTGTTTAAGCCAAATTTGTCATCATTTGCAACGCTACCTAATCTCACGCCAATCGGCCAGCTGCCTCCCTGTAGATTC